CAACTTAAACACTATCATTTAAATATATTAACATATATACTATTATGCAAGATATTTAAAATATTGTATAATACTTAAACAAAAAATAATTTAATTAATAAGTGCAATATTTTAATAATTTGTCTTTTTTGTAATTCCCTGAACTTCATTTAGTATAATGAACTCGAGTAGATATTTGGGAAAGTTGGTTGTAAAGCAATAATATCTGCTTAAATTAACAAAAATATTAGATAACTATTTAAATTCACATTATACATACTTATCATCAGTATTAATCTGGTTTAGTTCATTAAACTTGAAATGGCAGTCATGATCTGCTTGACTTTCATATAACTTTCATATAATAATAACTTTCAGCTGTTTTCTGAACTATGCGAGAACCTATTAGACTTTATACTTTAATACTGCAGAATGAAGCTTCTCAGCCAGTAACGAATACTCTTAATACTCGTAAGATTGTTGTTTTTTCTAAATAGATAACTTTTATTTTTTTCTAGTCTTCAAATGGAATTATTTATTATAACAGAATTTTTTTGAAAACAAAAAATAGATTATTCTTCAAATAAATACAGAATCGTTTTCAATACATACATAATATAAATAATATAAATTATGTTTCAGGAGTGTTGTTCGAACAGTTCTGCCATATATTACATTCCTTTGATAAACATTTAATAGAAATATTTGCCCAATATCGGCATGACGATCATTTTTTTTAAATTTATGTTCAAAGTTGATATCCACCCCCATTGGTTAACAGTGCCTATAAAATTCTATACCCTATATTTTTAAATTTATGTATAGTTGATATCCACCCCCATTGGTTAACAGTGCCTTTAAAAGTCTATACCCAAAACAAATATGTTTTCTCACGAGTCGAAACCGTAAAATCGTTATTGGTTCTAGAAAATTGATGTTTCATTATATATGTTGATATAAAATTATTTTAAATATAATATATTATAACATTTGTAATATATTATAATATATTATTGATTTCACCATCATCATGTTGAATCTTTTCCGAGTTAATGCATCTGGGCATTTTTAGTCTTTGATAGCTGGGAGAATTCTGCACGGTCCAACACTTCTCATTGACTTATTTATGTATTCCTCAAAAGCTTCGTGATTATTCGATAACTGATCTAAGATCTACGTGGTTAGAGATTATTCCGAGATTAGATAGTACTAAGTAGGGCAGCCTGTCGGTTTTCACGAATAGCTTCAGGGCTCTGTCCCTCATGTATTTTTTGATCAAGTCTATTCTCTTAGTCCTTTAGCGTGTCATTTGTGCGGATATACCAAGGCACTTTAAAGAGTCTTCGGAGAGCCTGACTTTGAGCAACTTGTAGTTTCTAGATAGTAGAGTTGGAAACCTTGCTATACGCGACACACCCATAGAGTAGTGCTTTTACTTATTTATGTACATGTATATTTATTATTTAAGGCTTCATTATATTTATGGCTTTTCTATTTAAATTAAGAACTTAATTCAATTCTGAAACTATTTATTACTTATTAAAAATTTATATGCAATAAATTTTGCAATAGTTTGTATAAGAAATCAGCTTATAGAAAGCACAAATGATTGTTTAGGTATCTTTAACTAAGTTGACGATATTTCTTTTATCCTAAAATGAGACAATTTCAAGTAAGATTAACCAAGCCTTCATCCTTCATTATTCTTTTTGTAAAAAGAATTAATAATTAAATAATTTGATTAAGAATTTTATGTTCTATGATAAAAAATTTATTTCCAATACAAGAGAGTAGTAATAGTGAGGAAATGTTCAAATCCAAAATAAATTATTCAATCAAGCAAATACATGACTTGACCATACAGCTCATTTGAGTACTTCCAAATAGTCTGAAAAGCTTGGAAAAGGATCTAGTTTAGTTTAATTGCCCGTATTTAATGCTTGACTTGCAAGTGCTAGGAATTAAATGTTGTCAACTTTGAAGAGTTGCTGTCATTTACTTTATTCGAATATAGAGTTTCATCAATTTTTGCTGTTTATTCATAAACAACCACTGCAATTGCTATGTTTTTAATTAGAACTAACGCATAAGGTACAGCTATATAAATTAAAGTATTCATTTTCTATTCTTTGCAGAAAACAATTTGTTGAGCTGGTGTATAGCAAACAGATTTGAAACTAAAATATTAAGAAATTTTTTTAAGAGTACGGGACTCACACCAATATAAAAAAGAGCAAAACTATTGCGCTGACGCCTAGTCATTGTATTCAAAACTGCTTTAAGGTTAGGCCTTCAATTATGTTTAATAATTTCAATTTAATTGAACTGAAACCTAAAAATATATATAATAATTTAAATTTAATATTTTAATTATAAAATTGAAAATAATTTCTGTTTTGGTTTTCGGGGCTAAGAGCTTATTTTTTTCAATAGCAGGACTTTTGTTTCTTCAAAAACAAGTCAGGTGTTAACAACACGCACACCTGACTTTGCCATTGCAACACTAAATAATCACGTTTAGGTAAAACAATTCCATTGATTAGATTTAAAACAAACAGATAGATTACAGCAACCAAGTAAGCCAATTTCCTTGCCTCGGTTTTAAAAGGCAGGCGCTAATCTTTACGGGTGAGTGCGACTCAACGAACTACGACGTTCAATACAAAGCGGAATGTCTGTAAGTGAAGGCTTGCGAAAAGGTCTGAATGTCTGCTTGTGCAGATGGCGATACAAACGTGGCGGAACAATCGATCAATTGATCTATGATGCTATTAGGTTTATGGCAACAACACTAATGTAAACAAATACTTTACAACAACAACAGCAGCTTATTTAGAAGCAGGTTTGAGAAATTTTTGTAGCACACAATTTCGCGGGTCGTATTGCTGGCTTCGGAGCACTTCGTGTTTTTGCAGTGGTCTTCGTTTGCGTGCAGCATTTCGTTTGCATTCAAATGGGCTGGTAAACACTGGCAGATCGTTCAGTTTATAGTTAAACGTCGTGTAGAGTAGTTTGTCTGCAAAGCCCAAGCTTTCAGTGCTTCTGATTTAAAGTTAAAGAAATTTTCGGTCGAAATTCGTGCAACTGCGAGCTCTTTTACTAACAACATTAAAAAGTGAGTGTTTTTTCTTTAAAAAATAAATAAATTATTTGGCTTTGGATGCTTTGTATCGATCGGCATAACTAGTTTATGATCCTAGTTTGGTCCGGTGCTTTACCGAAATTTTATTTCAAGTTTTGAAATAATGTTTTTTTATTCCCATACATTTGTGACATGGTTTTAAGTGTTAAAAATAAGCGCACGCTACACAAAATATGCTATTGCATAAATTAATTAAAAATCTTATAAAACTATTTAAGTGTGTCAATAGTCCGAATTAAAAAAAGTTGTTGCTATGAAATAATAAAAAACAAGTTGTGTTGTTGAAATTAGCTTAAACAGTAGAACGACTAACTTGTTTTGCATTAATTAAATAGAAATTAAATAATATTGTTTTTCTGAATATAATTAAAAAATTATATAATTAATGTTAATATTGTCTTGAAACGCAGATCGATTTCAGATTAAATTTTTGAGCCACTTAAAAGATTCATGGATAAACACAAGCTTACTTCTTTAGCTTTTCATAAGAGTAACTGGGGAACACTTTCATTATTAATTTTTATAAACACTTTAATGAATATCTGTATAAAAAATTTTATTTAAAAGTTTCAAAATCTTGATTACTATAACTATAACTCTAAGTTTTAAATTTGGCAGGACTCGAGTTCATTACGTGGTACTTGCAGTCTCAAAAACAAAAAAAAAAATTTTTAACGATTACTAAATTACAAGAATTATTTCCAAGACCACTGATAATGGGTATTTGGCAATACTCAAAACAGTTGTATTGTCAGCCGAAAATTTAATGAATTAAAATAATATAAAACGAATTGTTGTTGTTGTAAAAAACCTCTATTCGAAAAACCTCTTATTTAATTAAATAACAGAAAAAGATTTTGAGTTTAAATTATGAATTTATTTTTTCAATCAATTTCTGTTCAGAAATCTAAATCAATATCAAATCAATATTTCAAATGGATAATTATACGTCATTGAAGTACATTACCACTACTCCTTATCGAAATTAAGAGGGTATTTGAAACTTTGTTGCATACTTTCGGGAATAGTTGTTTTGGTACGTAAATCTAGTGAGGTTATAATTTACATACTCGTAGTATTTCACTTGTAGTTTTCAAATTTACTACTAATTTAAAAATTCAACCAAAGTAATAGTATATGATAATATTAGATTAGAACATATACTATATATTTACATTAGCATATAGTATATGAAAATGTTAGATTAGAAATGTATGCATTTCATTTATACCCTTAATTCAAATCTTTACAATAATAAGAGGATTAAGAAAATTAAAGGATATTAAGAGGTTACTTATAGTAAATGATGTTAGTTATCACCCGAAGTATATTTATAAGCTAATAAATAATTATTTCCCAATGATCATTCTTTCCAAAAGATCATTCTTTTCAAATGATCATTCTTTCGATGTAATACAAATAATCATTATTTCTAAATGATAAGGATATTTTTACCAAATATAATATTTTTATCGAAGTAAGCAGTAAGTAATAAGTAAGTAAGTAAGTATATTATTGACGATCACATAGGTTAAAATAGGTGATAGTAAATCTTGAATAGATTTAAAGCATATAAAACATATTTATTGCTTAGTTTCTTAAGCCTAGTATTTACACCAATTTCGCACGAAAAATTGACATAAAACTCTATATAAAAATATGTTCCTTAAATTTTGACATTGTAGAAAAGTTAATATAGAGATTGTTGGAGATTGATCCCTTGATTACTCACTAGGCTTTAGGAAATAAAATGGATGTAAATTGGCTTAACACAAAAAAAGTTAACAAGAAATCTCTACTGAAGATGGCCTGAGTTATTTTGTATTTCGCTCAGGTTGCCTTTAAGCACTAATATCTTTATTTAATTAAGGAATATGTAACATTTTTGACGCTTGATTTTTGAAGATCATAAATAAAGTTTTTTTTAAACTAAAATGAAAGTTTTTGATCAACTCTAATATCTCAAATAGCAGTATTTTTTATTTGATCAAAATAACGTAGGGCACCTCTAAACATAAATATGGTAAAATTAAAGTGATTTATTCTCGCTTAAAAAAGAAGTTTGATTGGCATAGAAGGTAAATGGACGGTGCAAAATCGAATAAATAAACTCCCTCAGGGTTATTCAGAGAATCACATTTAATAATTTATTTTTTCTATATCACAGTGATTTTAATTTAATGCTTTAATCTTGTGGTTACGAATTTGAAGATTTCACTTAATTATAAAATTGTTTATTACTGAAGATATGTGTGGATTTTCACTAGTTTTTTTTATTAGATATTTATAATTTGTTAAAATTTATGTAAATAGAATATAAAAAATTTAAACAAAATTATAATTAAAAATTTTTTTTATTTATTATCGCCCACGTTTAGAAATTTTGTTGACTTTTTTCTAAGGTCGGTATATTTTTTAATAATAGATTGTTTTATAGTTCAATATTCAATAATATTTTACAATTCATTTGCTCATTAATAAACAAATTTATTTGTAAACGAGAATATTTAATGTAAACAAACCAGTTACTGCAGTGAACACTTAAACTATACAATTCTTCTATAAGATCTCTCTGTACGATTTCTTAACATGAAGCTCTAATTATTTTTTCCAGTGCGTTATTAAGTCTAAGTTATACTTTAGAATAGGAATTTAATGATAATTGACTCCCTTAGTTGTGATTTTAGTAAAAATATATATGACCTTTGCTTTTAACTTAATTTTTTTTATTTTTGTTTAATTAAAATTATATCTTTTTAGATGTTTTTGCAAAAAAAGAAAAACAAAAACAAACACAATACTTATAACAATAATAAACAGTTTAAATAATATATACTTCCTTCTTAAGTTTCAGTGTGCCAAAACGATTATTTAAAGATTTGTAGATCTGTTAAATTACAATAAAACCGGGCAATTAAATTGTATTTATTCTTATCTAAATGGCTAGGGAAGTTGGGATCCATTCCCGTAATTAAGTCTGTGTGCCAACGCACTATGAATCTGCCTAATATGTTACGCAAGTAATTGAAGTAACCAATTACTGAGTTGTTTTCATTTAAGTCAAGAGCAGGTCATGAACTCTCCGCTCGAGCGATTTCACTATATTTTGTAATCCGACCATTTGATGCATTTTGACTTCAAAGTTGCGTTTTAATCGTGTCTAATTTTTTACCTTGCTTGAAACGCTGTTGAAGAAATTTTTTATTGTTTTATCATTTGATTATAAAATATTTAAAACTCATTTAAGGTCGTTTTTCAGTGGATTTACTGTAGGGGGTAAAATATTTTTTTTAAAATTCGTAAAAGTCAATCAATGCACGATCTTAAAAAATTATATATTCGCACCATATAAAATTCCAGTTATTTTAACTTATTCAAGCGTTTCACCATTTTTTCTACTCATCTTAAAGGTTATGATGCTTCATATCTTCTCTGAAAGCGATTGTGCAATTTTTTTAATTTGTTGCAACGGATTTTATTTTTCAAAATATTTAATCATTTACATATTTTTACACTAAAATTCAAAATTAGTTACTTTTTGACAGTCCAATAACTTATAAACACTTTTTGGTGATTGATTGTTTATGTTAATTAATTTACAAAGTTTGCTTTAAGCATAAGTTTGTACTTAACAATTTTAGATAAATATTTGACTGTGTATACACGTAGATAATTTACTAAGATATATGTTCGAGAAGTAACATAACCCTGAAATTTTACAATCGCAAAACAAGTCAGTTGGTTTTGGGTTTGTCGATAATTCATTTCCCTTCATACTGTGGCTATTAAAAATTTACAAACCGTTTTTATAATTAAAGTTCTTATATTCCAATACAAGAAATTTAGTTTCGAATAGAAAAAGAGATCCGGCGGGTAAAAAAAAATTGGCTTTGGTTTTATTGAAAAACAGACAAACAGTCTTTATGATTAAAATTTTTTTATTCCATAACAAGAAATATATTTTCGAATAAAAAAATGGATCAAGCGATAAAGAAATTGAATTTGATTTTATACTGAGGCTACCATATAAAAACTTACAAACAGTAACTATAAAGAGGTTTTTCGAAAAATACTATATAAAAGAGAACTACAACAACAACAATTTTTTTTTTTTGCATTATTTTTATTTATGAATTTTTGGCTGACTATACAGCTACTTCGAATATTGCCAATTACCCATCATCAGTGGTCTTGGAAATATTTCTTGTATTTAATAATTCGTAAATAATTTTTTGAGACCGCAAGTACCAGGAATCGAACTCGTGCCCTGCCAAATTTGAAGCTCAAAGTCAGCGTTCATTAGCCAACTGACCCAAAGCCGTACTTCTCTTTTATGTTCGTTCACACATTTTTCTGTAGTTTTGTTAAATTCAAATCATAAACCAGCTGTAATTGAATTAATTAATTATATTATATTTTTAATTGTCAAATTAAAACAGTGGTTATAAGAAAGGTGAATAGTGAATTTTTTTGGTGTAAATTTTGTGAATGTGAGTAAATGAAGCGATACTGGAGAACCACTTAGGCCGTTAGTCCATTGTGTTATGTTATAAAAACTCAAAGATTTAAGGATCACCTTGAACCTGTAGCAAAATCTAAAATGCTCTTTAGTAAGTTTAGTTTAGGAAGTCCTGGAGCTGGCCCAAATCCTTAAAACAGTAAGCCGCTAGCATGCTCAATCACTGTAGCACATACGCTGAACAGTAGCAAAGCAGATGTGGGGCACTTTCATCGTCCTTATTCAATTAAATAAGGACGATGAAATATGGACGATGTGACAACAGTGACAGGATTGATGAAGTGGGAGTTGAAATCTTCTGTCATGGGTTCCTAAACTGCTGTGATCCATCAACAAACCTACCATAAGACTGATATTTTTCTGAAGCATCTCAATTTGATTCCTAGATTTTTTTAGTAAATTGCGACAAATTCGCTACGTTTTGGGTATTTTAGATAAACCTTCCTCATAATTG